AATCATAGATAAACAAAGAACATTGCATGGAATAACATACTATAGAGGTACGATCGTGGACCGCTGTGGCGTTAGTTCACCGCACCCTCTGCCAGGTTCGCTGCGAGCGCGCGTTAACGGTTTTTAACACAGGTTAGCATAGGGAGTTGGGAGTCCTTATTTATTCTCTTGGTCCATGCAGAGGGTACGAAATGCGATCACCATTCTTTATCCGCCTTGCATTATTATTACATATTCTGCGCTTCTAGCACGTTTGGGAGAACCCTGAAACTTTTCTTCTATCATGGATCGATTCGAGTTCTCTTCGGGTCGTTTACAACCAGAGGAATATCTTGTGAGTAAATTCAGCAATGTTCGCCTTTATGATGGGGATGAAAAAACTTCATTTGAACATGGTGACGTCTTATTTACAAATCTTCGTCTGATCTGGTGTCGAAACAGTAATGATTTTTCTATTCAACCAGTGCTTTCCTTATCCTACAGTTTGATAACCTATGTACTTATTGATGTACATTCTAGAAAGCTAAAAAAGAAACTCATTATCAATCTATCAGATACTTATAAGCCTTCAAATCCTGGCCCTGTGTTGACCAGTCCATTCAACTACGTAAAACTGTCTTTCAAAGAGAATGTGGACGAAAATTTTGTTGGAAACTTGGATGAAGTGATCAACGAGCATCACAAGAATGAAAGTTCGAAAAGTGGGAATGCTCCTACCAGAATCAAACTTCGCACTGGCATTGTCGGAATAGAACGCAGTATCCATGAGAAAAATAAAGTAACGGATGAGAGTATCACTGTAGCTTTCCAAGATTTAAGTAAATTAATGACTATGGCCAAAGATATGGTTGTGATCTCCAAAACAATATCAGACAAAATTTGTAATCATCAAGGTGAAATAAGTGAAGATGAAACTGTCAAATTTAAATCTTATTTACTAAGTTTAGGAATTGAAGATCCGGTAACACGCAATAGAGTTCAAAACGAAAACCAATTCTACGAGAACCTAGCTAAAGAAATAAGTAAAATTCTCCTAGGAACAATCAAAGAAATCGGTGGAATGATGGTGCTCACAGATGCTTACTGTCGAGTCAATAGAGCCCGTGGTTTAGAACTTCTATCGCCTGATGACTTTCTTAATGCTAGCAAATTAATGGATCAACTATCTCTGCCGTTGAAATTGAGAGTATTCGATAGTGGTGTTATGGTGCTTCAATTACTGTCTCATGATGATCAAATTTTAGTGAGGGAAACCGTACTCCTCCTTCGTAATCACTCTTCTATGTCGCCTCAAGAACTGTCTACATTAGTGAAAATTCCTGTGTCTCTAGCAAAAGAAAGATTAATTGTCGCAGAAAAATTTGGTAGAGCATGCAGAGATGAGAGTATTGAAGGCCTTAGATTTCATGTAAACTTTTTTTTAGAAAATAGATCCTGAACAATTCACTACTAATATTGTATGTCCTAATCTTGGTCGGAATGAAATAAATGATGGATATTTGGTACCAAGATAATGTGTTAGGTATTTTTTCATCAATAAACTGATTGCTCCAAAGTCTATGCCCTGAATTGTAAGAAAGTCCAGTTTCCATTCTCTGTACACTCTCTGAATTTTCAATTATTTCTCAATTGTTTTCTGTATTAATCGCAAATATTCTAATACAAGAAATGCTTCACACAAGTAATGTACGTACCTACCTCTCTATACTCAGGTACTTCAGAACAAAAGCAAGGACATCCAAGTGGATTCAATAAATTCCTGCAATGGAGACAAACACTGTTTGGTTTTGATGTCCAATAGAAATGTATACCTCTCGCGCTTTAAATTACAGCAGCCAAATTTCTTGCAGAATCAAATCTTCTTTAGGAATGTTCAAAACATGCCTGTGCCAGTGCCTCCATCCTCCATCCCCTGCTTAGAAAAGTTAGTGTCGTCATACTTTAAACTACCTCAGTGCCAATGGGCCACATGACAAGGTATGAATTATAACAGTACGTAACACGATTTCACTCCAAAAGTTTATGAGGAATACAAATCTCACTACGGGAAGTCTGGAAATCAACTTCTAAACAAGAAATTAATGTTAATAATTAGTTAAATTTCATCAATCAAATTAAAAAAAATACTGATGTCGTCATTTGTATGATCCCACTTCCATTCGATCCGTGTTTAGAATGCCTCTTACTTAATATCTCGTTCGGAAGTTGATTTTTGAACTTTCCATTGTGTAAAAAGTTTTCTTCGTAAGATTTTGAAGAGAAAACGTGTGACGCTTTCTTCTGGTTTAGACTTCGTTCGGACCTTGTCTAGTCACCCATTGCTTTGTTTTCATATGCATGGATTCCTTTTCCTTTTCGTTGAACCCCTCGCGGGCGGGAGACAATATTTCCCGCCCGCGTCTCCTAGAGTCCCTGTATACTGAATTACTGAGAGTCAAGACAATGTGAATCCATTTCTGATTGGTTCGACCGTATTTTAGGCCTTCACAGTGTCACAAACGGGAATAAAGATTACAGTTTCACCGATTGCAAAGATTATAATCTGGAATGGACCGGGGAATTACGGGTTCGGCAAGGAACAAACGGAATGAGGGAAGGAACGAAGAAAGGAATTCGAGAATGGGCCGATCAAAGATTACGAAAAACGTTCAATTTCTGTAATCTTTATTCCCGTTTGTGACTCCATGAGGCGTGTTGTCTTGACTCTCAGTATAAAGGGACTCTATAGGTGATTTGATGGACGCCATATTTAGTATGGAATTATTTCCGTAAAGCTCGCGCGCGTTCACAAAGAAAGTCGGCGCGTGGTTGCGCCACTGGCGCGGAGCAATTCCATAGCGCGCGACCAGTATTCCTCCGCGAATATTTATGTAAACCTCGCACGCGTTCACGAAACCTCGCGCGCGTTCACGAAAAAAGTCGGCGCGTGAGCAGCAGAGTCGTCGCGTGAGCAGTAGAGTCGGCGCGCGCAAAGAATCTTCGCGCGCGCGAAAAAATCTCCCCGCGCGCGAAGTAATCTCACCGCGCGCGAAGAAATCGCCAATGTCACGACAATACCTCGCGCGCGCTGCTACAGAGCCTTAAGGTTTATCTACAGCTGCGTGAAGTAAGAAATTTCTCCGCGCAGGGGGCGCCACCGCTGTGTTTTAGAGTCCGTACAGCTCCACGTGAGTCCTTGAGCTTTTATAAAAGTTGAAGGAATTTCTGTTTAAATCGATGAGTCATAAGTTCTAGCCATAACATTCTTCTTCCTATTGACCCTTAAAACAACGTGAAAAGTCATTTCTGAAGCTCTGCAATTTGATCCCAGAAAAAAGTAGGGTTAAGCATGATGACCTTGATGCAACCAATCGCGCTTGATCGCTCTCAGCAGTTGGCAGATATCTCTCTCCCACCGTGAGCTGTCTCTCTCGCACTTATAGATATCCCGTAAGAGAAACTGGGATCAATTTACAGCTTTTATTATTAGACTTTCAAAGCTCACGTTTGTTTCTAAGGATTCCAGACGTATGCTGCTAGAACTTATGAGTCTTAGAATTTAAGATACCTATTGTGATATTTAAATAATCACTGATTTCGGAGTCGGATTTTAGCAGCGCGACGTGGTGGAATTTTTCGGAACTACAGCTGAAGATTAACCTTAACAAGGTCAAGACACGGCTGCCAAATGTAGATTTAATTTTAGTTTAATAGTAGGTTAGGTTAGTTTAGGTTATGTTAGGTCGGGTTAGGTTAGGTTGGGTTAGGTTAGGTTAGGTTAGGTTTTAAACTTTAATTAAAAAAACGTTTGGCAACATACAACCTTGAGCCATGCGATCCTACATGGCGCGCGGCGGGTTTGCTCTCGCGCTCGTCGAGTTATCACACCTCGCGCGGAGAAACACTGACAGCGCGCAGCGATACCTATGTCGCGGGCGTCGAGTTTTACTTCGCGCGGAGGGAATACTGGTCGCGCGCCATGGAATTGCTCCGCGCCAGTGGCGCAACCACGCGCCGACTTTCTTTGTGAACGCGCGCGAGGTTTACGGAAATAATACCATTTTAATAATTCCATACTGTTTTAGTGTTACGTCACATTTCGAGATTGTATATCGCGATTTTAGGCCTGGTGCCCTAACGTTGAGTCCCTTTACCTATACTGAGAGTCAAGGCCGAAGACATAAGCCTGGTTTGGCGCTGGGTGCTTGTGTGAGCGTGTAAATGAGCGCGGGAATCCATGGCGGCAAACGGAAATTTGATTTGAACTTGTTCTCTTGATTTTTCCACATTTCTTCTTTGAAACGTATTTTAAATGCCTAAAACGAATATATTTAGAAAGTTGGGACTGCGTCCCATTATAATACACCTACTTTTGCTCGGTAACAGGCAGTAATCTATACAGGGTGATCCAAAAGTCCCTTCCACCCCCNGTAATGTGTAAATAAATCGAAGAGCAACCCCAAACCCATGTGCATGCAAGGGTCACCAAGAAACACATTATTTTAGCCCTTTGCTTTTTAATTCATTAATTTATATCAATGAAGTGTCATACGATTATACAGGGTGATCCAAAAGTCCCTTCCACCCCCTCTAACTTTTGACCTAATTGAGGTAAAGATTTGAAACTTGGGGGATATTCCTAGGTCCAAGGGAGCTACTTTTTGGCCCCCCTAAAATTTTCAAGGGGCCCCCCCTCGGGAGGGCAACGGACCCCAACTTTTAATTTTCAAATGGGAAGACCCCCTTTGTGATAGCTCGTTCGAAAGAGCATAAAAAACGACAACTTTTCGCGCAAACCCGAAGTCAATAGCCCAAACCGTTTCAAAATGGCGGCTGGTTAAAGTTAAAAATGGCCGAAAATTCACACCGATTATTTATCGATGGATTTTCGCGAAAATCGGTATGTAGGGGAATTTTGTCACGAGAAAAACGAATTTTGACGTTAGATTTTCAAAAAAACCGGAATTTTCAAAATGGCCGCCGGTTAAAGTTTAAAATGGCGGAAAATTTTCACCTCGGTTTTTTTCTGATGGATTTGCCTAAAACTTGGAATTTGAGAGTATTTTGGTAAAAAATGTTGGCGAAAAGCGTCAGCTGTTTTGTAAAGTTTTGATTCCTCCAGTTTTCCATTTCTCAGTTTCAGTTCGGTATGATACCTTGCCCATAAAGGTGATCTAAAAGCGTCCTCCGAGTGTTATTTCTTTCCTTACCACCTTTAGCTTTTACCTTTAGCCTTTAATATTAAATATCACTTTTCCCGAGAGCAAGTTGAAGAAAATACTATTATCCTTCATCATTTGTCCACAGGTGATCAGCCAGCAGATCTGCTCACGAAGCCTCTACCAACTCCGACCTTCTTGAAATTCAGAGCTGAATTTGGGCTCCAATCAGCCAGTACCGAGTGAGAGATTTGATGAGGTTTTCATCTGGGTTNTTCCATTTCTCAGTTTCAGTTCGGTATGATACCTTGCCCATAAAGGTGATCTAAAAGCGTCCTCCGAGTGTTATTTCTTTCCTTACCACCTTTAGCTTTTACCTTTAGCCTTTAAAAAATAAACAAATTTGAACTTAGATTTCTAAATATCAATTTTTGGTCATTTTGAACTTTAACTGGCGGCCATTTTGGAAATTTCGGTTTTTTCGAAAATCTAACGTCAAATTCGTTTTTCTCGTGTCAAAATACCCCTACATACCGATTTTCGCGCAAATCTATCAACAAATAACCGGTGTGAATTTTCGGCCATTTTGAACTTTAACCGGCCGCCATTTTGAAACGGTTTGAGATATTGACTTCGAGTTTGCGCGAAAAGTTTTCTTTTTTTATGCTCTTTCGAACGAGCTATCACAAAGGGGTCTTCCCATTTGAAAATTAATAGTTGGGGGCCGTTGCCTCCCCAAGGGGGGCTCCCTTGGAAATTTTAGGGGGACCAAAAAGTAGCTCCCTTTGACCCAGGAACATCCCCCAAGTTTCAAATCTTTACCTCAATTAGGTAAAAAGTTAGAGGGGGTGGAAGGGACTTTTGGATCACCCTGTATAAATAAAATCGTTCGGGGTTTCACTGTAACGCTTATTTCTGGAGTTCTACCGGACCGATTTTGACGATGCTTGACTCTGGTGAAAGCCCTTGACGTCCCGATGTCCGCAAAACTTTCAGACTTCCAAATTTTTTAGCCTCTTTCGCTTGAGACGCTCTTAAAGCGAAATCCACCCCTCTCCGACCTTAAGTTTCCGAGAGTTGCGGTATGTTTCCGTTGTAACGCCTTAATTTGAGAGAACTACCGGGGCGATTTTTACGATTTTTGGGTCGACTGCAAGCTTCTAGCTTCCAGATGCTCGCAAAACTGTCAGACTTCCAAATTTTTCAGACTCTTCTTCCTGAGACGCTCTTAAAGCCAAATCTACCCCCCTCCGACCTTAAGTTCCCGGGAATTGGTGTATGTTCCTGTTGTAACGCCTATTTTGAGAGATCTACCGGGGCGATTTTTACGATTTTTGGGTCGATTGGAAGCTTCTAGCTCCTAGATGCTCGCAAAACTATGAGAATTTCCAATTTTTCAGCCATATCTGTGTAAACCGCTGAGAGATGCAAATAGACCCCTCTCCATATCACTACTACACAGCCTTCACCCAATGCCGAAGGTCAAACTCGGACTCTGTCTCAGCACTGCTCTGTCTGAATAAAAGGAAGCCGCCACTGCTAC